ACTTTGACGCAATATTCACGGCATCCAGTTGGTGGGTTTGGAATTCAATGGGAGACAGTTAGCAGGAAAGACTTGGTTCTTTAAGGTATTCACTGCAATGTATTTATTTAAAGCGCACAAATCATTTAATCATTTCTCATGAATGTCCGTAGTTTATCTGACCGAATAACTGCCACCGATTATTAAATCTGCCCATTTGGAACAAGACCATGATCCAATTTCTTGTTTCGTTACACGTCAGATTAATTTTGGTAGAACGAACACGTTTGTTTCTTTGAATTTTCCTATTTTCTTCCTATGATTCGAATCAGATTAATTTGTTTTGATTTGTATTTTTAAAATATCGTCAGACGGTTTGATATGTTATCTATCTGTATAATTTGACGTTAGTCATCTTTGAGGTTGAATGAAAGCAGTACCGTGTACCAGTATTCATGATGCTTTGAACTGGTTTACTGTTAAAAGTTTACTGTTAGTGGTCTCACTTGTTGTGTAAGTACTAGGCTATAGATAATAATTTGGCTCAACGAAAGTTTTAAAGGATAATATATAAAGTATATGTAAAGTATTTTGCTAACATAGGATTTGTTCATCGCAATTTCTTTGCGAATGACATTATATGAACGACCAAACCCTGACTTATCGCCACAAATAAACAAATTTTCCTCTAGCTACATATTCAATGTTTTTTTCTGTTTATTTAAGGGTAATCTTGTGTGGCGTTTTGAGAACATGATAATGGACAATGGCTACCCTAAATATATATCACAAGAGTTCACTAATTTACCAAGTAATATTGATGCAGCCTTCGAATACTATGGCAACGGGCAAACGTACTTTTTCAAAGGTGAGTTCATTTGATTCGTATTTATAAATTTGCTACCACTGCAGTCCCTTGGTTGGAGTCATATTGGCCGTATGTCTTTCTGTTTTTCCATCTGTCTGTCTGTCCCTTCGCTTGTCTGAAGTTTAAATGCCACGTGCTTTTTCAAGATACTGATCATTTAAAACCTCGCTGCCGGTTTCGAAACCGTGAGAAACCGTCTGCTCGGATACCATAGAATGTCTGCGTAATGCTCAAATTTATTTTATTTTCCAGGTGGGTTCTTTTATATGATTAACTGGAGAATGGAAGTGGTTGGTCCATTCTACATGGATAATTGGCAGGGGATTCCCTCCGACATTAATTCCGCATTCCAAGACAACGATCAGTACGTTTATTTTTTCAAAGATAACCTGTACTACAAATTTGAGCACGACACATTCTCTACCTTAGCAGGATATCCTCGTTCGACTTCTGCTGACTGGTTTCAATGCAACGCCTTGAACGAGGCTGATCAGAGTGACGACATAAAGCAAGTCGATGACATCATTGATGTGATACAAAGTGATGGCTACGTCACTTTCCCCTGCTTGTTTACAATTATTCTAACCATTCTGGTGCAGTATATCAAATAATTATATATTTTATTTGTGAACGAGCCAGAAACGACAAAGAATATCGATCTCTTCGCATTGTATCAATATAATAATATTCTTTTATTACGCTGGGCGTACTTAATATCTTAATAATTTAACTTGTTATATTAATGAAGTCTTTTTGTAACCAAAATTATTTACTGGTACATTCTTACATCCAATCAAAAGGCGGGTCCTTTTGTTCTGAAAATGACGTGATTTGATAGAGCTGAAAATGCACAACTATCTTAGTGTAATTTATTATCCGATTTACTTGTATTGGAACTGTTATTGAATAAAAAGAGTACAACTATTTTATCCTTGTTTTTGATGAAATTATGACGTAAATGTTACTAGTATGTGTGCCGTTATTGTTTTGGAAACATATGATATTTACATTAGGTACAATATTAAGTAACACTTGAATGGTTTCGTTTAAGACGCTTACGTTATAATGCTACTCTCGTGCAAGAACATAATATCGCAAATAGAGACATTCAAGAGAGAATAATCTTGAATTCAGTGGGTTACCATTTGCAGAAAATGAAAACAGTTTGTCAGTACAACACCTCAAGATATCCTCCCAAACATGAAAAGACGATCTGATAAGAATATGAGGTTATTACGGGGATACCGCAAAGTATGCACGAAGACAGTACAGCGGGAGTATTGCGGAGGTCGGTGCGACGGCATACTGTCTGAGTGCATACTTTGAAGTATCCTCGTAATAACCTTATTATTATACATCTTTTCCTTTCAAGGGTACATTATGGGAATGCCAAAATAAAAAAAAGTTTAGAACAGAACCAGCGAACTTCTTTGTGTGGAGTCCGGTCAAACACTGGTGGCAGCCATGTTTGTTTATATGATTAGAGGACATTTACGCTTCCATATTTCCTTATATGGCAGGATGAAAATACCATGTAAAATACCTCAAAATTACGACACGCTGGCGTTACAGTAACAGATGTATAATAATGATACAAATGTTCCCCCCAACAGCGGCTGACATACAGTTTTAGAGACCCTCAGAGCCCATTGTCAATGACCGAGGCGATGCAGAAATAAAATTTAAAGCATAAAACATATTCAAATGTGACACAGTATCTGAAATGTTCTACTTACAACCGTTGTGAAATGAAATGGGCCCTGGAACTAGCTTACAACGATTATACACGGACGAGAGCGGGTGAAAATTCGCACCTGTTAGCGGCAACGTTGATACGTGGAAAATACATAATTAAAAAAATACAGACACAATTATATGTTTGTGTCAGGCAACCTGTCCTGACACTGTAAATCAGCGGTGTTGTTTTCCAGGTGACGTTTTGTATGTGCAAATGCAAAAAATGACGGTATATGTGCATACCGTCGTCAACAACGTTGTCGTAGAATTGCTTGGTTGACGTCATATTGATAAAGATGGCACGCTTATCGGGAATTTCCCATCGTGCAACTGGCCAATAAACACAGAGCAAATATTTCCTAAATTTGAATGTGTGATAAGATATTACATACGCTGTAATTAAGCGTCTATGTATTGGCAAATAACGAATGGAACGCCGCAAAGATTTTAAACTGATTTGTAAAATGTGGATTGCTTTGTATTTGGTGTACATGGTAATTCCACGGTGTTTTGAACAACACGACGTCCCAAACTTTTTCGGTGCAACCAGATAAAGTGACTACTTGCATGGGAGGGCGAAATGAATCATGGGATTACATGAGAGTAGTTTTTAAAACTAATATAATAAAAACCACGAGGCGGCGCTATTATATAAAATTGTTTTATATCGCAAAATACTGAGTATACAATAAATTATTTTAATAAATTAAGCAAATATATTCATACATAACTGCCTCACCACGAACAGGGTGGGTTTTTGGCGCCAAAGGGCCTGCCCTTGGGATGTGTGAATTTATCTGAGAAATATTACAAATAATGCTGTTTATACAACCCTTACATGGTTAAAATGATATGTAACACAACGAAAATAAACTTATAATACTGTCATAGACAATACTACGTATGATTACTCACGGAGTGTTGTAATTCAAGGTTTCAATTTCCAACGATCATAATTTTAGTTTGTGATAATTTGCGAATCTAATTCAAAGAAAATAATAATAACTCTTGGGTATACCACAAGTACGACCAGCGCACTTTAGAAAACTTTTTAATTTCGGCAGTAGTTAAGATGTGGCTGAGAACAAAGATATTTCTCAATCTGCCCATCAATTTGGTCCAATTTTTTCTAGACGTTACAGAGAAACCAATCGGCAGACGAGGAGCGGGGATAACCGGCAAGTGTCTGGAAGATGTCGTGTTCGAACTTGTAATACAGGTTGTCCTTGAAGAAATACACGTATTGGTCGCTTTCTTGATAAACGGCGTCGATATTATCGGGAATTCCTCGCCATGTTGTCATGTAAAATGGACCCACTACTTCCATTCTCCAGTTTAACATATAGAAATACCCATCTGAAAATAAGACCATAAAAACATAAATATAGCGAACATGCGACAAATGACTGAAGTCATAGAAGCTTTCCCTTCATGTTAAGTTGGTCACGTTTGTATGGAGACCGTTACTAGACCTAGTACTTATCCGTATAGTAAAGGCTAAACCTGCATATTTAACTTGAAACCTACCTTTGAAGAAATATGTCTGTCCGTTGCCATAGTATTCGAATACTGCATCAATGTGTGTAGGCAAGCCCCTGAATTCGTCGTTGATTAGCCTTGGGTAACCCGGGTCCATGACCATATTCTGAAAGCGCCATACACGGCTATCCTGTTAAGAAAATCGGTTTGATTCAGTCAGCGCGGCGACATAGAACATAGAAAGTATATTATGTACGTGTTGAAACGTTACCATAGTGACTATAACCGATCGACAATAACTTTAGAGACGTTACTGAACGGGAAATAATAATTTGCACAAAAAGAGATTGTCGTGTTAGCTCACTTTAAAGAACCACGTTTTTCCAGTGAGTCCTTTGCTTCCCCAAAACCACGGGTTAGACGAGGTAAATACGGCGTCGAAATCTCCATCAAGACCTGACCAGTAATCACTGATCCGCTTAGGGTATCCTTGTTCTACGTTTTTGTCCTGAAGACGCCAAAAATAGTCACCTGTGGAAATGTAAATAACGATTATAGATTTACAAAATATCATTATTGCAAAAGTCAAGTCTCGTGACACTCTACACCCATTTTGTTATGCTACGTGACAATACTGCACAGTTCAACGCTTTCAATTGAACAGTTGATTTTTCAAAATTCGCTACCATTTGTCAAAGGTTTGTGATCAAATGATGATACTATTCATCAAAAATTATCAGCAATATATTGAATTTAGGAAGAATTACTGAAAACGAGGTACAATCTGGTCGGTGATTTTGAAAGGTTTAACTCGGCCGATATTAAATGATGGTGACATACCTTGAAACGCATATGTGTGTCCGTCTTTTGTTGCTGTGATGGCATCGACATTATCAGGACACAATCTGGGACCTGGGTTCAGATTTGGATCGGGTTTTGGTGCTGTTGTGGTGATGTCGGGTTCGGGAACTTTCGCACCTTGGAAGACAAACATATTCAATGGTGAATGAGTGAAATTATCGTGTCCCGTATCACTCAGACACATTTTGGAGTTTATTTGAATTTCGGACAAGCACGTGATCAGCGGATAAGTGTACTGTTATGTCATACTCATTGAACACAACAATTATAAATGAAATGTAATAAGGCAATATTTACCATATAAAGACTGCATGCCGGCGATGTCATCGGAGGTCAGCTGAAAATTGGGTTTATATCCAGAATAATAAGGATACATGAGGGAGCCAATCACATCTGAGTGCGCGAGGCCGAGGCTGTGACCGAACTCGTGAGCAGCAACCAACCACAAATTAGTACCTGCAAATAAATTAGCATTTATTTAAATTTTGTTTTCGAACCAACATTTAGAATGATTTCTGGGCAATATTTGAAATAATTGTAAAACTAATTTTTAAATACTGTACTTAATATACTTAAATGTTGACGTTTTACCTTCATATGTGTCAGCTGTCCAATTTTCGCCATCATCAAAATGTGCATCACCTTTTATGTCTCCGTAATTTGATGGAAAGAACGCATGCGCCAAGACTTTGCCGGGTCCATCAAATGTGGTTTTCCAATAGCCATCTTCGTGTGGAATAAACGGGGCGGGAAATGAAATCTTGATATCGGCGGTATCGTCACCATGGACACGAGAGAATGTCAGTGCCGTCACGTCTGACCAAAGCTAAATATGTATATATATATATAGAAAGTATGTACAAATATTTTAATTAAATTCAAGATTACGAATATAATTGGAAGACTGAATTCTTCATGACTGGTATTCTGAAAAAAAATCAGTGACCCGTATGCCGCAGTATGAATGTAATGGTGCCTCCTTTTCAATGGTCGTTCATTTCAAAATGGCGGAAAGAGAGATATTTGCGTTTTGTGACGTAATACAAGGTAATATACAACTACTCTTACACTTTTTATGGTTGTAGAACGCCATAATATGTCACGATTTGAATAGTGACAAGAATGATGTGTACCTTGAAAGCTTTGGCAATTTCGCTGTCCACTTTACTTTGAGGTAGGTCCGGTGTGTATTGGATGATATCGTATGTCAGGTCAGTTTTATCCCACTGAGAATGAGCATAGTAACGTTTTTGTCTCCCACCGCTGGTAGTGCTGTCCACGTCTGGCAGTCCGCAGCGTGGGGAGTTCATCATTTCAACAGTAGCTTCGTCCATTGCACCTGTCAAAACATTCAAAATGTTGCCATAACAAGGATTTCTTGATTTTGCATGGTCATAAAAAATTAGGAAGACTTACGTACTTTATATTAATTGTATGTACCAATAATACACGTGTGTGCGCAGTTTGCTCACTATGTTGTGCGTCAACCATGAACAATTGTTTTAATTTTACCATAAATCACACTTTATTGTGTCTATCAACATGCCGAATACCAATACTCAAAACAGTCAAATTTAAACACACTGGTTTTTAAAGTGTTCTACCTACCAGTTTCAGTTAAATGAGAAAATCTCTGGAATTCGCGTATACTTGCTCGTATCGTATCTTCTCCCATAAGTCCATTTAAATGCGTATTCAGATAACCATAGTGATCTAAAAATTCCTATTCAACAAAATTAAAATGACACCATATAAATAAAAAGACTTTAAAATATAAGTACGAACGTGGATTGAAAGTTGTACATGAAATTCAGGATGTAAATGTGAAAGAATCTCACCATTGCACTTCCTATGTCCCGTATATCGCTGATCGATTGCATCGGAGCTGGTGGGATTTCAGTTGGGAATCCAAAACCACTAATAAAAACGGTAAATAATATTGCAAGTATAACCGACCATGACCAGCACGGTGTTTCCATCTTTAGATTCTTCTAAAAGTAGATAAAGCTTCAAATATCTTTGATCTTGTCGTGTTTCCTCAAGTCCAGCTTGAGATTGTATGCCTTTCTGAGCTACTTCGGCTCGTTTTATAAGTTATCCGGCTGATCACGTGACTCTCACTCGACACCCATCCGGCCTTCTGAAAATCGAGGTTAAAACAGAAACCAGGTTTGCAGGTAATCCGATTGGAACCACTCCCTTGATGACTAATGCTACTTTGTTTTATCTCTTTGTGTATCGACCTTGTCGTACAATCGATCGTCTTCAGATAGTAATTGACGCCGGTTGTCACGGTCCTTGAGGTTACAGCGACCAATCACTGCACACTTTGGTGACGTCATTGAAATAGTCCTTTATCACGATGCATACATCTTTCCCATACAATTTATAACTATTGAATTTCTTTCTTTTATCTATTTACAGTTCGTCAGATCAAACTACAAAGTATATGATTGTTTTCAAACTGACACTTGTTGGATTCATATTTGTTTATTTGCACATTATTAACTCAAAACTCAAAGCTGATTTATCCGACGCTGGTCAAGTGACGACGTCATTGTTCAAAAATAGATTGACGCTAAAATTAGAACATTCTTCAATTTTTGTTTTGTTCTCCTGTATCACGACGCTCTCCCCGGATATCGTAACCCCCTGAAGCTGAACCACATACAAAACATTATATTGTACATACGCACATACCATTGCCAAATCTACATATCACATGTACATGTACACAAATAATAAAAACGAACTGCTTTACAAAGAAGCAGGCAATAGTAATTTGGTTACTTTATTATTTGAATTATTTACCAGGCACAGTGGGTGAGTGTAAATGGTGAAAAAAAAACATGCGTTATGAAATTAAATGTGTGTTTTTTGTTTTGCTTTTATTTTTTTTTTCAATACGGGAATATGTTGCGGCGATCGTGGTTCGAAATAGTGGCCTTTTCTGTCTTAACATTTTGACGATTCGTTTTTTTTTTGTTTACTCGAGATTTGTCTTTAAGTATAAAAATCTCAGCTCAAACTGACATATTATAGATTATAGTTGATTGTGTAAAAATCCAAAAACATATATTTAAATTTAATTATTGCACCTTCGTTCAACAATTCAACTGTTAGTTATAAACTGTAAAATCCATCATCTTCACGCGTTGTTTGGTATAGAGATTTACTGTTCTACGAACTCCTTTGGTTGCCAGTGTAGTGAATGCTGAGTCACTGTGCGTTGTTATTATAATAAGACTATGTCATTGAAATATCTCCCATTTGTTCAGTCACGGTTGTTTAACAGCAACGAACACAATAGCTTTCACCACCAGTCGTGACCCACATGACGTCACTGAACACCACCGTAGTTACTGTTACTGCGCAAGTTTATGCTTAGCAGCGTTCACTTACACAGAGAAAGTAAAACAATTTGACGTCAGTATGTGAGAGCGGACAACACTGGTTTTTGAGATCTGAGTCAAAATTAAGATTACTCGGAAAGCTTCGGGTAAACGTGTTTGCTTTCTTTTTATCTCCGTGATTTGAACAGACAAAGTTCTAGTAAATAAAAAAAGGTCACTGTCCATTTTGAAGGGGCTAATAATAGGCATGTAATAGTTTGTTTCAAGTTGCTGATTTGGTCATTCAAGTGGAAGTGTAGTAAACGTAAAAAAAATCTTATTTGTATATTTATTTCCTTATAGAAATACGCAATATAGAAAGAAAATATATAATTACTTTAACAGTACTTACAGTACAGTGACGATTACTATGTTAAGTACTAAATATATCGTAAAAAGGTTCCCATAGTTTAATATTACGAATATTGGCTGGCAACATTGTAGATTAATTTAACAAATGATTCGAATCCACCATATGCCAGGCTTTACACTTTACAAAATCATAAAACGTCATTAGTCTGCTGAAATACTCTACGGTACGGTTAGGTTTTCTGTTGTTTCGCCGTTATCAGCACTGCCTGGCCGGCTACCGTGGCATAGAAACAAAGAAAGTAAGTAGGTCAAATCTCTCTCAACTATGTTGTTGATCAAATTATGGACATGTTCCAGAAACCACACGCGTTTGGTTAACACGCTTTGTTACTTTCAAAGCGTTCAGGGTAATTTACGGGAAGTTGGTACGGACAAGATGCATACTCATGATCACACCGGATATTTAATTTTAGAAAAGAAAGTGACAGTTGTTACCCAACCTGTGCGTCGGAATGTTCCCGTTTGACATTACAAAGGTGCTGACAACATTGAAGTAAACCGATCGCTGTCATTTTCCGCCATGTGTCACTTTTTATACTATTATTCATATAAATTTGGGGATATTACCACTACACCCGATACGTCATCAACTGAAATGATGCGTGAAATGATTCCAAGATGCGTGACTATGCACAAACCAATAAGTCGTGTGGGACCAATATCCTAGTATATGGCGCGGCGTGATGACCACTGACTTTAACCAAAATCATAAAATTCCATAATATTGCATATTTGATATTGAGAAATTGTATTAATCTTGTCTGAGCTTCAACGGACTTAATTAACGTACAATAATTACTGGCTTGAAAACGTCATAGTAACTATGAATCGGTTGAGATTCAAGAAGAAGCGTTCGGTTTGAAGAGTTAATTGTAAATTTGTGACACTAGAAGAACAACTTGAAACTACTTTCAAAGGGGTCTGAAACAAAAGTCGAAACATCAAATCATCAACTCATCACATCACTAACGAAAACCAATGAATACATCACTCTAAAGAACCCTTTTAAAAAGTTTACACATATGACAATACAAACAATCTGTTGTTTTTATATATTTCGGCATAGAGGGCGCCATTCATACTGGCGAACCTGTCGATCGTACTAACTATATATCCTTTGTCCAGGTTTACAAATTAATGCGTTTGTCAATGTTATCAAATCGTTTTAATTCAATACAAATATATGTAATGTATATGGAACGTTCAAGACGTGAAAAGCATAAAAAACGTCATATTTACACACATAAATATTCATAATTCAAGCTCTATTCATCAAACGCCAAAGTTCGGCGGGAAATGTTTTCTTTTTCTATTTGCATTATGGATTTGTCATCGTAGATATATTTATTTTCGAGTAAACAACGGCCAAAACCTTCACTTACACGATTGTCTTTAGATAACAACAACAAAAAACTGTTATATTCACAAATTAACAAAACGGAGCCTACTTCGTGGAGTACAGCGCAAAAGATGTTGGTTAAAATGAGGCTTGACTTTTTCAAAAAAAAAAAAAAAAAAAGGATAGCAAAAATTGTGGAATAGAGTTATAATTGTGTGTGTTTTTTTGCGACCGAGCGACTACTTCACAGTTACTCCGTCATTTCATGAGTTCCACACCGTTTTACGACCATGTGACTATTTCGCATTATACTTTGGACCGCGTACTATCCCAGTGTTCACACGTGTTATTATTATGCATCTACTTTAAAAACTTAAACAGACTGGAAATTGTAGAAAACTTCCAGACTGCGACTAAGCTCAATTGTTTACCTGCCTACTTGCAATTCACCAAACATCGAATGAGTTTGCCGTTGGTGGCGTGCCAGCGAACCAGGAGTCATGATTGATCCCAAGTATATGCTTGGAGAATAAACATTATGACTAAGACTAACTCTAAAAGTTTACGCTGCCTAACCGTCTCCTGTTGGAAGCTTAAATTAACAATTTAAACATTGTTGAACCTACAAAACAATTAAGCAACAACATACATAAAAATTAAGCTTCCACAGAGATATAAATACGACCCAACATGTCACGTTGAATCCCGCAAAGTGTAGGATGGCACGAGAATATCAATGATGATTTTAATAGTAACATTTCATTATATTATAAAATAAATAACACTCAATATTCGCCTATTATATTATATTTTATAAACACTCCTTTACTGAATGATAAGTGGAACTATGTGGAATCTGCTAGCCATGCCATGCTAATCAATAAAAGCGTACCGGGCACGGGTACTTGAACAAGGTGTTATGATCAGATTGTGGTATACTTACAGCTTGAATCATTCTGCGCAAACAAATAGGATGTTTACACTCGTTGTACACGCACGCTTAGATCGTATGATGATGTACGCAAACCGTTCTAATCGACGATCCCAGGGTCCACTCAGCAAACACGTGACATGGCATGTGTATTATTGAATTTTGGAAATAGTAGCTAAGCACATAGTTATTACTTTTCATACTCTTTCTGAGATCACATTCGTGTAGATGTTATTGTTGCAAAACCCAACTATTTAGTGTAAATTGGGAAGATAACCAAAGTATTACATACACACAGCTCTTCAAAGAAGCACTGTCACAGAACCACTCATTGCAAAAAACATTGCAATTTCATTATATTTAATTGATATACTTCTTTTCTGAAAATGGTTGTAAAAACGTAAAGCAAGTTTATTCGACCTTAGCTGGAATGAAACACCCCTTCCACGTGTTTTCTGTAACGTACACCCACTGTTTCAGCCACTTAGGAGATGAGTGGCGCCCTAGACCGACGATATATTATTTTCGTATTAACACGTACACACTGCTGACAACTTACTAGTTTCGATGAATATCACGCAGGGGCCTTCCGTTTATAATACAGTCGTTATAGAATGTAGCACTGTTGAATGCGCATGCGCATCCCGTGTTCTTATATGATATATTGGCACTTGGCTATTTGTATTTATGTTCGAACTAAGCGTGGAACCAAACGCACTGAAGGCCGTGACGATGTTCTGTGTGAGACATCTTTATGAATAACGCGTACAGATATATACATACAACATCTTCACGATATACGGGTTATCTGCAACAATGGATACCAATGAGACAAGCACGAAGTTACAATATTTAACGAGTGTGTTCTCGCAGATATCACTCATGTCACCTTACCCTGAAAACGAATACATTGAGGATATACAGGTAAATAATACTAGTAGACTC